TGCTCACCCCTTGTCCATCCCTGTCCTTCCTTCCCTCCTGCTGCAGCACCTCTTCTCTCTGCTGTGGGATTACCCCCTGTTTCATGCCCAGCCAGATCCCATCTCCCAAGATCCAGCAGGATGAGAGGCTCTTATGGACATACAAGGTCATATCTGCAAGTTAAGCCAAAACACTGTCCCAGCTCTTGGCTCTCCGTGGCTTTGCCCTTCCAGTGTGGTGTGATAAGAGGAGGAAATTCTGCTTTGGAAGCAGAAACTCTCCTAAAAACAACTTTCCTTGCTCCCTGCTCTTAGCAACCACCACCCTCCTCTCCCTGTCCCATTCCTTGTTATTCCAGGCTTTGCTGGTGTTGCCACATTTTGTGCTCCATGCTCCTACTGACACAGGGATCTGGTGGCACATCCTCTGTTAAGCCCCTGCAGCTGATAAGCACAGCCTGGAGCCTTCAGGAGGAGGATGCAGGATGAGGGGTCTAATCCCTGGATCTTGGCAACACCTTTCCCTTGGCTGGTGGGCTCAGCTCCTGCTGATAACCAGCTGATTCTGCAGGAAAATCACCTCGTGTGGCCCATGGGCTTGAAAGGCTTGGAAAAAATGCTCCATGGCTGGGAATTTACCACATTCCCAGGGAAGCTGAGGCTGGATGGGGCTTGGAGCAGCCTGGGCTAGTGAAAGGTGTCTCTGTCCATAGCAGGGGCTGGGATGAGGTGGACTTTAATGTACTTCCAACCCAAACTATTCCATGAACTAGCTGGAAGGAGGTTAGGGCTGGCAGGGGGTGGCAGTGGGAATCACTGGGCTCTGCACTTCCACCTTCTCCTGCATCTCCTTGGGAAGCAGAGCCTGGACCTGCTCCAGCTTTTCCTCTTCATTTTTATTCACCCAATTCGATGAGGTTTCCTAAACACTGGAATTGCAGCCAGCTGGAAGCCTTAGGCTAGGAGTTCTGGAGTGCCCAACCTCTGAGGGGCAAGGACATGATCCTGCACACACTGCTCATGCTCCTCTGCCCAACATGTTCTTCCCAGCAGCACAGAGGCTTTTCCAGGGACTAAACTCTCATCCTGGAGTGGTTTACCAAGAGCAAACAGCCCCAGGAAACAAAGCTCTGTGTTTGCCCTCCCTGTTTGGTTTTTGGGCTCAGCACCACCACCTGTATCTTATCATGGGACAGGAGAGCCTGAACAAGGGCAGGACCCAGAGCTGGTGCCAGCCCATGGTGCCCATCAGGCACCTGGATGGTTGGGAATTTCCCAGGGCAGTTTGCCCTGCCTTTTTCCTCCTGCAAAGCTGGTCCAGCTGAGATTCCACTGTTTGACCTCATCCCTGGCCACCAAACTGCTTGTGCCCCTCCTATGGGTGCTGGGTTGGGTCCCATGGGTGCTCCATGGTGAGGACAGAACTGACACCTCTCCAGAGCCTCGGGGAGGCTTGGCTGAAGCACCAGGATGGGAGGAGAGTCCCATCCAGGCTGCTCAGTCCTTTGTTTGGGATCATCCTGTGTTCCCTGCCTTATCTCTTAGGAGCTGAGCAACCTGTGACCCTCTTGGCTCCAGTACCCTCATCCCTGGCATATTTATCACCCCCTGGAGGTGTTTTCCATGCTCTGCTAACAGAGAACACAAGGGAAGCAGGAGCACAGTGTGACCTGTGCATGAGGCTGGACACAGTGCCAGCAGTGCCCAGCCTGGCATCACATCCAGCCTTGCCCAGCCCTGTGAGTGCTGGATTTGGGCTACTCTGCCTGTGCCAAGGGCATGGGGTGAGGAGGGGTGAGCTGCAAAGCTCTGATAGGGCCCAGGTTTGGGGTGCTCTGGGTTCATGGCTCTTGCAGGGGAGTGTGTGGCCCCAGAGATTAGTGAGGCTCAGCCAGAGCCTGTGCAGGGACTTGGCTGAACTTCAGCTCTTGGTGAGATGAGGTGTGACACCTCCTCTGGGCACCTCCTCATCCCTCTGGGGGATCCTCATCAGGAGGGTTAGAAATGGCTCTGCTGGAGTAGGGAGGTTGGACCAGAGGATTCCAACCTCCCTGATTCTGTGATTCATGGAATCATAGAATTTTAGGGGGTGGAATGGAGCTTAGAGATGATCCAGTGTCAACCCCCTGCCCTGGGCAGGGACACCTCCCACCAGAGCAGGTTGCTCAAGGTTCCATCCAACCTGGCTGTGAACATTGCCAGGGTTGGGGCAGCCACAGCCTCCCTGGGCAACCTGGGACAGTGTCTCAGCACCCTCACAGGGAAAACTTCTGCCTAATATCTCACCTAAACTTCCCCTTGTGGAGCCTGAGGCTGGAGCTCTTCCCTAGGATTGCCACTGCTTTGGGCATGGGCCTGTCTGGATGGAGCTGGTGGGATTTATCCTCCTGCAAACCCTCCCCAGGGCATCCAGATCTGGCTCAACAGTGGTTTGACCCCCCCATCAGTTCTGGAGGTGCCAGGGGTGCAGAGGAGGGACAGGCAACAAGACCACAGCTTGGAGAAAATGCCAAGAAATGGAACAATAACTAAAATCATGAGCTATATTAAAAGATCAGACCTTATCCTCCTGCCTGGGAGGTGGGTGGTTGCCTCCAGCTCTCCAAACTAACTGTTTTCCTTGTGCTGGTCCTGCAGAGGATGGAGATTTCCTGGCACTGGACCTTGGTGGCACCAACTTCCGCGTGCTGAGGGTGAAGGTGTCGGACAATGGGCTGCAGAAGGTGGAAATGGAGAATCAGATCTATGCCATCCCTGAGGAGCTGATGCGTGGCAGTGGGGTACAGGTGGGTCCCCCCAACACCCCCAGCTGTGTCCTGGGGCTGGAGCAGGACTGGGAATCTCAGCAGGATCTTTTGCCAGGAATTCCTGACAGCCAGCACTGCTTCTTAGGGTGGGCATCCAGGTGAGGCCTCACTTTTTCCCTTTTTTTTCCAGCTTTTTGACCACATTGCTGAGTGTTTGGCCAACTTCATGGACAAGCTGAATATCAAAGACAAGAAACTCCCCCTTGGATTCACCTTCTCCTTCCCATGCCACCAGACCAAGCTGGATGAGGTGGGTGAGGGGCTCTCGCTGCGGGTCCCACGCCAATTAGCTCAGGCTTTTAATTAGGCTCGTTGGGCTGTGGGTGGTGTGACCTTTGCAGAAGGGCCACAGCTCTCAGTCAAAGCCATTCCCGAGCTCTGGGTGAAAGGAACTGAAGAGCAGAACTGTCCCTTTTTATTTATGAAGATGTGCTGCTGCAATGGCTCAGTGGCTGCAGGGACAGGCAGGGGGAGGAGGGAACATTGGTCTCCTCCAGGGAATGTGATGCTTGGCATCACTTCCCCATAACCCTGTGCTTGTCATCTCCTCCACACACAGCACAAAACCCTGGGAAGAGGAAAAGGAAGGGTTTTTTTCAGCATAGGTTGCCTTTTGTAAAGGTGATGGATGTGAATGAATGTTGGTGTCTCTCCTGTTTTAGACACATCTGTCCAGATTTCCATAGGATTCTGGAATGGGTTGGGTTGGAAGGGACCTAAAGATCATCTCATTCCACCTCCCACCAGCCTAGGGTGTTCCAAGCCCCATCCAACCTGGGCTGGAACACTCCTAGGGATGGAACAGCCACAGCTACTCTGGGCAAGCTGTGCTAGTGCCTCTCCTCCCTGGATTTCTGAATTTCATGCATTTCACTGCTTTATTTTGAGGATTCTCCATCTATCATCCTTCTGTGACCTTCCCTGTCGCCCTCACCACGCTTACCTGCGATGGTGCCCCAGGTCACCGTGGTGCTCAGAGCAAGAGCTGCAGCCCCAGAACTGCAGAGCTGTGGGAGATGATCTGTCCATGGGAAGCAGCTCCTCCCCAGCTGCAGCCCAGACGTGCTGAGCATCACATCCCCCACCGAGCAGGGGGAGTGATGGGCTCAGCTCGGCGAGATAGAACAGCCCAGAGCAGAGAGAGGCACGTGGTGCTCTCCTGCCACCCTCACCCCGAGGGCCACGGGCAGGGACAGCAACACTTTCCTCCTGGGTGAGGCTGTGAAAACCATGGGAGTGAAGCAGCTGCTGGAGGGAGCATCTGTCCCTGCTGACATCGCTTCGCTCCGTGCCTTGGTTTCAAAGAATCTTAGAATTTAAGGGTTGGGATGGAGCTTAGAGATCATCCAACCTCCTGCCCTGGGTAGGGACACCTCCCATCACAGCAGGTTGTTGTCCAACCTGGTGTTGAACACTGCCAGGGTTGGGGCAGCCACAGCCTCCCTGGGCAACCTGGGACAGGGTCTCACCACCTTTACAATAAAAATTTTTTTTCTAATATTTACCCTAAACTTCCTCTCCTTCAGTTTGAATCTATTACTCCTTGTCCATCAGGAGGACAAGAGGGCACAGGCTCAAGCTCAGCCAGGGGAGGGTTAGGTTGGATCTTAGGAAGAGGTTTTTTATGGAGAGAGTGCTCAGACATTGGAATGTGCTGCCCAGGGAGGTGGTGGATTCACCATCCCTGGAGGTTTTCAAGCTGAGACTGGATGTGGCACTTAGTGCCATGGGCTAGTGACCAC